TAAATCACGCTATCAACATTCCGAATCAGAAACAGTATATATAGAACATCTCCGAACTATCACACTTGATCAGCCGGCTGCCTTTGTAGAGGTTGTTTTTAGAGGGTATCACTTAGGGTCCCCCGGTAGGACAGTGAGCCACTCATAACCACGATAGACCGGCTATCGTGGTATGCGTAATGCATTTTCCGCCTCCCTACGTATAGGGTAGCCCTTTAATTGCTTCGGGCGCAAAAAAAAAAACTATCACACGGAGTGTTGGCCGCTCCCCGGGCAGAACACTTTGCCCGGCGGGAAATCTCCCCTTTTCCTTCAACGGTCACAGTGGTGACTACCCGGCGTGATCTGAACACGCAACCGACAAACTTCGGAAACTTCAACCTTCATCATCGTCATAGAATACCCCACCCATTCGCTCCCGAGTAGATATCGTCTGCAGTCTTCATATCCTGCAAGCCATCTAGCTTCACAAAGTTCATCGCAGCACTGGAATAATAATGCTTCCTGTTCCTTCAAGCTACTCTCTGCGCTACAGTGTTCGGCATGACTCTGAGTCTTACTACTCGCCTCTGCTTCACGGCACTCTCGCAGATTACTTGCCTTCTTCTCGACTCACCGCAGACTACAAGGCAATCTCCTGGCACTTGCACATTCGTCGGCAACGAGGCTGCACTATCGACCTCCGGTCTGAGCAGGGGGGTGATGTAGCGGCGCTGTTGTCGCGCCACAATCGAAATACACCGAAGTCTAAATCACGCTATCAACATTCCGAATCAGAAACAGTATATATAGAACATCTCCGAACTATCACATGGAGTGTCGGCCGCTCCCCGGGCAGAACACCTTGCCTGGCGGGAGATCTCCCCTTTTCCTTCCACGGCCACACTTATATTGAAATCAGGCATTAAAGTATTTAATTGATCGTATAAAAGTAAACCGTTAAATTATTTAATATAAGTGGAAACAGGTGTTTACTTACATGAAATAAAATTGCTGGTAGAATCTCCCATCACCGTTCTTCAAACGATGTTATCTGAAGGTCCGTGTCTCTATAGTGTTGTTGAAATATTTAGAGACGAACGCAAGGGAGCTGACCTTATTACTTTAGTCCCTTGGGCGAAGAGCAAAGCATTTGTGTGAGTTGCTACGTGTGTAGACACTTTCAGTCGTTTAGAAGGTAAGGGACGGCTGAACTAAGTAAAGTTACAGCTTTTTTATAAAATAGCGAACTAAAGCAGAATTAAGCTATTTTATGCTAATATTCTGTGAAACCGTAGTTCTTCCCCATTGAACCGATCCACTTATGCTGCAGTAATAGTATAGCTGTAGGGTGACTCTGCCACGTAAATTAAAAACGAAAAAAAAACTTATATACGTTTCATTTCTGAGAAGTTATTAGGGCAAGAAAATGGCCGCCACGTTCTTTTAGGTGAACTGATTATAGAAATGAAGGGGTTTCCTAACTATGTTCTCCTTGACGCCCAAGCACTTGGTAAATCAGCACTTAAAAGTACCATTAACAATTTCTTTGGTGCCAGCGGAGATTTCTTTGGTACTATGATAGTTACGGCAAGTGCTAAGTCCCTGATCTACCGTGGCTCGTTCGTTGAGCTAAAAATACATATAAAATTCACTTAATATCGCTTGGCATAGGTTATGTACAAACATTTCGTATACAAACACCATCATCACTAGGATAGATGGTAGCACTACCATTGCTTGGTGAGTATGCTCAAATCTTTAATGTGCATATCTTTACTTTAAATTCTACATGGTTTAGCCCCGTGATTTGTACAGAATACATGAGGGCATACACGGGGATGAAGAAACGGTAGCTCACATTCCACTTAACTGACCCGCAGTCGTTAACAATCTCATCTATCTCTCTCGGATCACCGTGGTCAGTCTTTGGTAATGTTCAGAATATGTAGAATGAATGTGTAGAAAATATAGCTCCTTAGGATTGTTACAACATAATTTCCCATACCCGTAAAAATTTCCAACTCATAATAACAAAAATAGTAGCATTTTTATAGGTACACTTAAACCTGAAGTGAAAACTATATTGAATTATTATAAAGTACTATGAATTGTTCAAGATGTTTATTTCTTATCGTAATGTTAATAATAAAGTCGACCTATAAACCCGTATGATAATATAGCTCAAGCAGGGGAATATTTTTAGCATAAAGATGCCAATTTTCTTCAGAATTATTTTTTTTAAATAACTTTACCCGCACACATTTCTCCAGTATCTTAGTTGAATTTATCATACATGAATTGCATAATATAAAACAATCTATCCACAATAACTATTTGTAGACTAAACTTATACTTTTTATGTTTGGAAATCAAACCAAAACAACTAAAGTTCTAAACTATTCCATTCACTAGAAACCTATGTCAAAACTCTTCACAAGGGGTTGGTTGTATGTAATTAAAACTCAGTTGAACCGTGGTTACGCTCTCAGCATATAAATCAGAGACACGCTAGGGTGTCTGTTCTTGCGTTCTCGATCAATTTGGCGGTAATAAAAAATATTAGAAGCTTTAGGATTGTAAAAACACTTTTAGATAAAACTTATGTAAATATCAAATTATAAAAATGTTGTTCAATGAACTGATTTTTAATAAAATGTTTTATTTTCATATGAATTGTTTTTTTTATTATCAAAATAAAATTCGTGTAAAAACATATTATGTCGTAATATAAAGATAAGAATATCCAATGTGTTATCATCCAATAGCTGTCTTTAGAGCCCGTATAGGGAAATTGAAACATAATCTTATCGAAATCCTGATAACAACTAAAATAATTAAAAAAACTACAGCTTCCTGTTAAGCAATTTAACTGTGACAAAACCCCGTGCTACTGCTACGTTATGGTCGTAGCACATATGGGTCCGGGGAAAGACCGCGCTCTCACAGAATACCAACTTAATATAACAGCTAAATGCTGCTGTGTTTCCGCGACCATTTTTACTGGATACGAGGCATTCCATCTTAGTCCTGAGCAGTACACACATCTACATATTGTGTCTTATTTGAGGATAAATATAAATGTCTATGGGCCACATCCACTTACCATCAGGTAAACCGTGTGCCTATTTTGAACAGTGGACTTTTAAAGATTCCTTAATGGATTCTAACTTTTAACGTATATCAATAGCAAGTTCAAGATCAAGATCCAAGAGCAAGTCTTATCCGACACTATTCCGATGATATCCCGGACGTCAGTCTGAGCGAGATTAGAATGGCTCTCCAGCACCTTAAAAACGGCAGGGCTCCAGGCGAGGATGGAATTACAGCGGAGCTTCTGAAAGCGGGTGGAACACCGGTACTTGAAGTCCTTCAGAAGCTTTTCAATTCCGTCTTCCATGGTGGCACTACTCCGGAGGCGTGGAGCAGAAGTGCGGTCGTCTTGTTCTTCAAGAAAGGTGACAACGCCCTCTTGAAGAACTACAGACCGATATCCCTTCTGAGCCGCGTCTACGTGCTGTTTTCGAGAGTCATTACGAATCGTCTTGCACGCAGACTCGACGACTTCCAGCCTTCCGAACAAGCCGGTTTCCGAAAAGGCTTCAGTACCATAGACCACATACATACCCTGCGGCAGATTGTACAGAAGTCCGAAGAGTACAATCTGCCACTTTGCCTGGCGTATGTGGACTATGAGAAAGCCTTTGATTCCGTCGAAATTTGGGCGGTGCTACAGTCCCTTCAGCGGTGCCAAGTTGACTATCGGTATATCGAAGTGCTGAAGTGTTTGTACAGTATACTTTTTATCTACATATAAGGTTAGACAGGGTGACATTATATCCCCGAAACTCTTCACCGCTGCATTGGAAGACGTTTTCTAGCTACTGGACTAGAAAGGATACGGTATTAACATCAATGGCGAGTACATCACTCACCTTCGATTTGCCGACGATATAGTCCTTATGGCAGAATCGCTGGAGGACCTAAGCACTATGCTCAATGACCTCAATGGTGTCTCCCAATGGATAGGTCTTAAGATGAACATGGACAAAACAAAGATCATCTTTAATGTCCATGTCACACCTATTTAGTAGTAGTTTTTGGGAGCATTATGCTCGAAGTTGTTGACGAATACGTTTACCTGGGACAAATAGTCCGATATATCGATATAATCGACGGATTCAACTCGGCTGGGCAGCGTTCGGGAAATTACGACACATCTTCTCGTCAGGTATACCTCAATCTCTGAAAACTAAAGTGTACAACCAGTGCGTGTTGCCAGTGATGACTTACGGATCTGAGACGTGGTCTTCCTGCTGACCGTATGAGGACGCTCAAGGTCGCTCAGCGAGCTATGGAGAGGGCTATGCTCGGAGTTTCTCTGCGTGATAGACTCAGAAATGAGGATATACGAAGTAAAACCAGAGTGACCGACATAGCCCAACGGATTAGTAAGCTGAAGTGGCAATGGGCCGGCCATATAGCTCGAAGAACCGATAACCGATGGGGAAGAAAGGTTCTCGAGTGGCAGCCTCGTACCGGTAGGCGTAGTGTAGGGCGACCCCCCCCCCCACTAGATGGAGTGACGACCTGGTAAGATATGCAGGAAGTCGATGGATGCAGGTGACTGAGGACCGTGCTTTGTGGCATTACTTGGGGGAGGCCTATGTTCAGCAGTGGACTTGTGAAGGGCTGTAATGATGATGATGATGATATCAAGACAGGGATCTATGGCAATATTTACGGGTTGTATGGGAATAAATTCCATACAATTTGTAAAGAACAATGTTCGTTTTAGTAGCTCGTAAAATGTTCTAAAATATTACTGGGGACAATATCTCCAGGTGGACATCGTCGATAATTTACATACATATACACAAATTTTTAAATTAATTATCACAATAAAATAAAGGACCAAAATACATTAATACAGGCTGATAACTCCTTTAATATAAGAAGTTGTTTGTACGCATTATTATTTGAAATAAAACGAACATGTCTCTTACATTATTTTTAGATAGTTATTCCTCAGTATTCCGGTTTCCAAAATATTTTTCATACATGTCCCGAAATTGGATATAAGTATCTTCTAAGTTTTCACCAGAAGTATGATCTATGCTTTTGTATTTATGTCCACAGTAGCACACGTGATCTTTTCCGCAGAACGCAGGTTTGCCTTTTTTCATACAAGTTCTTATGCATTTTCGTGCAATATCCAAATTCGGGCAAAAGTGTGCAATGTGATGTCGAGTCGTTGGACGCGAAGAATACATCATAGGCTCGTCCAAAGCATGCACATCAACTACAAAATATTATGTAATTTTTAGTTAAGCAATTGAAATTGAAGCACTTAAACATAACGAACGTCCTTATACGTACAGTTGGCGATTGAATTGGCGCCGGCGTGGTTTGTTAGCGTACCATATAGTATTAAGATGAACGTCTTTTTCCCACCACCAGCAGGTTGGCATACGCTACCCGCTAAATAGCCACTGGCGCATGATATATCATGTGACGCCGCTCTTTAAGACGTTACATATTAATTTATTTGTTTGTGAAATGTAATCAGAGAGCACAATAATTAAATTAGCAATGTATTCATTGCCTTTTCATGTCCTCTATCAGTCAACACTGGTCGATGTAAAAAAAAACTGTTGGGAAGCTGGCATAAGTTATAGTACCCGGATGACCGAGCTTTGCTCGGTTTTATTTTTTTGAAATTACATTTAGATACAAATTACATATTGATAAATAATATTTTTTGATCTTATTGATATAATAGAAAAAAAACTGAACTGGTTATTTGAATAAAAAATCATGATGCAATTAGTTTAATTAAAACTTTCTCGAAATAGATTTTCTCACAAAAGAAGGGAACTTGACAAAAAAAAGGAAAAAAAGTCGGACGGGACGCGAACTACGACTTCGATTTCGATTTCGCAACCGCTCACTATCCACTTGAGCTATTACGATCATTAACACAGTGTCAAAATGTACTTTCTTATATTGTAGCAGTTTTTCATTGCCTGAAAAAAATGTTCCTTGTTTCATAGTTTTTATTATATAGTTTTAGTTAAAAATAAGAGTTCTTAGATAACACTAATTTATGTAGAGAAAAATATTAGTATTTGAATGTAGTGAGGTGGCCGTGAACGAAGCTGCTGATCATGAGGTCTCGGGTTCGAATCCCAGGTCGGGTCAAAAATTCTGATGACCGACATGTGGGGTAGTATTTCGCCCGAAATTATTCCTGTAGTAATTTTTACAAACGGGTTAATTCCGGCCAGCCTCCCAGTCAGCCTCTCAGTCGGAAATGACTGTGACTCCGTAACTCTCCGCTCCGGGTTCTAATGCAGAAGGCGGTGTTGATTTTTTCCACAGATAGATAGACAGTAATACCATTAACACTAGTATGCAGTAAAATAGCAGCGACAAAAAACTAAGATTCTTTTTATTAAACGCCTTAGTCCTCAGAAGTAACAACATATCTGCATTTTGATTCTTAAGTAAAAATAACTTCAATGAAATTTATTCGATTAAAGATTAGAATTAAAAAAATACTACAACACACAAATTATTTTTATTTTTTATTTATAATCGTTTTACGAATACTATATTTTTAAAACTATTGAATTTTTGAAAACATGTTCCCGAAATATAGAGAATAGCATAAATATGACATAGGGCCCAACCGTTTACCGGCTTTAGCTTTTGTAAGTCGATGGAGGGCTCTCTAAATCTAGTTTATATGATATTTTATAAAAGTAACATTAAAGTAGCAAAAGTAATTACCATTTCCGCTATAAGGCTATTTATGGATAAGGCCTTTGTTCAGCAGTTTAGTTCAGCAAATTAGTTAGAACGAAATGAGGAGTACTTGTCATAAATTTTATGAAAGTGTGAGTTATAATGATTTTATAATTTACAATGAAATGACACCTTAAAGACTGACTGTATTTACTAAAATAGTGGATATTGCAGAAGTTCTAAGTTATTTCAACATAAAAATGAGATATTAAGATCAAACTGTCTACTGAAAAAACTACCATACTGTTACGAGCTTGAGGTTCGTGACAATAAAAGTTGCCGATAAAATTACCTAAATTAACACTTTAATTTACTTTACACAAATTAAAACTTAAAACACTAATAATTAAACACACTAATTCACTTAATTCCGCTCCGAAGCTTCGCTTGTGTCGCCGAGTTCAACTCTGCCCCGATCGCATCTTGCAGCGCCTATTTATATAATTAGCAAAGAAGCGTCCCGAACATTCAAGTAAATGCGCGCCAGGCAACGAGTATTCGAGTGTAGATTTTCCAGAAACTTAGTTCTTCGGGTGGCGCTGTCGGTCGTGTGATTTGTGATGTCATTTTCTCAATGCTCCCCTCGCTCTCGTTCCTGACACTAGATGGCGCTAGTGTATCGTCGACTTGAGCGCGTAACACTGCCCCCTCCTAAGACATGCTCGTCCCGAGCATTATTGGCCCCATAATAACGCGTCAAGCGATCCACATGGACGATCTTAGGAGTCCCTCTTGCGCCTTTCTGTAACGGCTCCGCAATGTCAAGGGCTGTTCTATCCCGTGGTGCACCAACATTGTACAATTTCGGTGCTCCTCTACTACGTGTCTGAGGTCCCCGCACGGCCGCACAACTTGTACATGTACGACACCAATCCTCGACATCGTCACGATAATGGACCCAGTAAAACTGTTCTCGGACCTTCAGTAGACTTCGTTTAACTCCCAGATGGACTCCATTATGGCACAGCTGTAGAACATTCGGCACTTTAGCTTTAGGGACAACCATTTGCAAACGACAGCTGTCCCTTCGACCATTGTCCCATTTACGGCACAGGACTCCATCCTGAATCAGCAAGCTGTCCCATTGGGCCCAATAGCTTTTCGTGGTTGAACTCATCGCTGAGACGTCCCTCCACTTAGGCTTGGTAGCACGGGCCTTCATCCATCCCAGAATCGGCTTGATGGCCGGATCTTCCTGCTGTGCATGTCGTAGGCTGTCCTTCCACCCGTTGCTGAGGTGGTCTGTCTCTTGCCTACTACAATGGTCGCAATCTTCAGGACAAGGTCTTCTTGTCAATGCATCTGCGTTGCCGTGAGATTTCCCGCTGCAGTGTCTGATAGTAAAGTCGTATTCCTGCTGCTGCTGGGCGGTGCTGTTAGCCGCACTTCCTTTCTGAGACCGTTCACCTTCCCCTTCCTAGGGTGTGCTTAGGGCAACTGGACCGAAGATGGCCCCTTTCCCCACAGCCATAGCACCTAGGGCTGTATCTTTTATTGTGGTCGCGAACCGTAACTGCTGTAACCTCCCTAGCGTGAGGTGAACGATGATCCTGTCGCCGCCAGGCAGTGCCGTTAGCTGTACTACCCTCTCGAGATCGATCAACTCTCCTTTCCACGGTTAGTTTAGGGCAGCTGAATCGAAGATGGCCCTTTTCCCCACAGCCATAGCACCTAGGGCTGTATCCTTTGCTGCGATCACGGACTGTAGCTGCTGCAACCTCCCTGACGCGATGGGAACGATGATCCTGCCGCACGGCTTCCACCTCCAGTGCATGGGCCAAGGCGTTCTTAAGCGTCTCGTGGTGCCCGAGCCTCACAGCAGCTCTGACTTCCAGGTCACGGATGCCGTCGATGAATGTCTGCACCAGGTTCCCTTCAATGAGCGCAGGTACAGACCGGTATGCTTTTCGCACCAGCTTCTCCACCTCTAGAGCTCACTGCTGCAGGTTTTCGTTGATGCGCTGCACGCGATCTTTAAGCTGCGCACGAAAGCCGTGTTCCAGGTGAGCGTCGCCATATCTCGCCTCCAATGCCTCAAGGAGTTGCTCATAAGTCACTTCCTCACCGAGAGCTTCCAGAACTGTTAAGGCCTGGTCGCGCAGGCCTAGTGTGAGAGCAGTCATGGCCTGATTTTTATTCCAGCCGTTCGCCTTCATAACAGCTTCGAACTGGATTTTGTAGGCTGACCAGGAAGAAGTCCCGTCGAATGGTGGCACCTTGAACCCACGTAGCGAAGGTGTAGTAGCTACTACGGGAGCTGCAATTCCATCTCCAAGCTTGAGTTCATCCAGCGTTTTCTTAACTTGGTTGATTTGGGTCTCAACTTCCGACAGGCGGTTATCATGTTGAGCAACCTTATCCTTCACCTCCCTTATCTCTTTCCCGAAGGTAGCGTGAAGGTCCTTCATGAAAAGCATCTGCTCTTCCCTATCGCGTTTGAGCTGCTCTTCTAAGCGACGGGCCTGTTCCTGCAGCATCACCATCAGAGCGCCTAAATCAGGTGCTGCGGATGCAGGAGCTACTGACGGACCGGCCTCCGTTGCCGGCGGCTGGCCCTCCGACGTCTGCGGCGTTGCACCACCAAATCTTCGTTGGTCCGTCTCCTGCTGGCGTTGACTTCGGGTACGGACACCCTCCGTTTCCTCCTTAGGTAAAATCGGCATTATTTTATCCCACTTCTGACACCAATTGTTACGAGCTTGAGGTTCGTGACAATAAAAGTTGCCGATAAAATTACCTAAATTAACACTTTAATTTACTTTACACAAATTAAAACTTAAAACACTAATAATTAAACACACTAATTCACTTAATTCCGCTCCGAAGCTTCGCTTGTGTCGCCGAGTTCAACTCTGCCCCGATCGCATCTTGCAGCGCCTATTTATATAATTAGCAAAGAAGCGTCCCGAACATTCAAGTAAATGCGCGCCAGGCAACGAGTATTCGAGTGTAGATTTTCCAGAAACTTAGTTCTTCGGGTGGCGCTGTCGGTCGTGTGATTTGTGATGTCATTTTCTCAATGCTCCCCTCGCTCTCGTTCCTGACACTAGATGGCGCTAGTGTATCGTCGACATGAGCGCGTAACAATACCATACTATTACAGCCTATCAAAATTCCACTGTTAAACATAGAATGTCTCATAAGGGGGATATTTTTTATAGTTGCCACGATTGGCTAGCGAGTCGGCAACCGAAGTTTTTTCCAACTTTATAAGAAATATGCTGCTACCCATCTCCTGGATCAGTTTCAGTCTCGCCTATTACGACACTCATTGGTTGTTATGGGGTAGTTGATATTCTTACACCGCCAGTACACGGTTAAAAAAAGTTAAAAGTTAAAAAAAATTAAAAATTAGTCAACAATTTTCAAAAAAGATTTTAATAAATAATTTCCTTAGAAAGGTACTAAGCACCGACTATTTCTTTATCATTAGTGTTTTATAGTTACATTAATTAGGAGTTTATATTTAAATATTATTTATTTACAATGAGGCACCATGCATCATTCATGCCACCATTTCCGCCGCCACCATACGGTATAGGTGACAGCGGAAGAGATCACCAAATTTCAGCCCACGTAAAAGACGTCTACAGGAAAGGCCAGAAAAATCTTTCGATCCTTGACCTAAAGCTCTCTCGAAAATGAGAGGCTGCCTGTGCTCAGCAATAGAACGTATATAGGCTCTAACTTTACTTCGATTGATTACGGTATCACCATCTCATCTACGTAAGGTATATTGAGAAATATCCAGACCAGCGGCGGAGGACAGCGTCAAAAGTGAGAACATCTGGTACGAACTGCGATTAACTTCAGTCAAGAATGTCGATTAAGGTACAACCTCCCTAAATACAATGGAAGAGGTCCATGCTAAGGTTTGTTCAGTTAGGGAATCGGACGAGTTAATGAAGAAAAGCATACTGAGGCTCACAAAGCCACAATCCACAACGACGGTAAGATAAACCATCAGTGTGGATTAGATTTATATGGTTACACAAATAATTTATCATCCTGTGATTGTAAGAAGTTGCACTAGCAGTTGTCAAGCAATGACTTACAATAAATTTAAAAAAATCATTGACGCCGCTTGCACCGCAGAACAAACTTGTTTAACTTACAAACAACACTTTATGTATTCTTACTGGATGTAAAATTTCGTTTATATGCTACATAAGCACGTATACTAAAAAAACTTAATTACCTTTAGTTTTTGAAGCGTTGACAACAAACAAACAATAACATTGTTTTTCAATGCACAAGCCGACTTTCATTCCACATTTGAGTTTGCAGTAGAAATTCCAAAGCTTGCTGTAGCAGACATCTTGTTCTTCAGTACGTAACGAGTTGTAAACGCTTTTAAGATCGTTATGAGGATCTACATCTACTGAAAACAAAAAAAATATCGATTGACCCTGCAAGCCATCCTTGGAACTTGATGACGTTTTTAACATATCATTTTAGTTAGAAGTAGTATAATAATAAAGAAATTAATTTATATATATTTATATATATATATATATATATATATATATATATATATATATATATATGGGAGTAAAATACTACTACACAAACAACTATTTTTATCTTTTTTTTAATTTTTTTTTACATGTTCACACACACACACACACACACACACACACACATAAACAGGCACTGGAGTAACTTGACACTTCATAATTTATTAATCCGTTTGAAAATTCCAGTTTCTTTATATCGCTGTGTTTTGAGGACCAAGTAGTTCAATTTAAATGTTTATGGATAAAAATGGAAGATTTGAGCATAGATTTCTATAAACTAAGGCTATGAGCAACAGCATAATCTGGGTTTGTCAATCAAAACAACCACCGACGTGTTGCGATTGTGGCGATAACATCTTTCTGTAGGATCTTTCTCCACTACCATCTCGAGACGGCGAGGCCGGCTCTGCTCTTTCTGAACGAGACGCAGGTGTCCTCTCCGGCGAATGTCTCGTATCTCTCCTGCCCGGGTTACAAACTGGAACACTCCTTTGTTGACATCTGTTCTCGACGCCTCGGCAGTCTTGAAGGTTCGGACCTGTCCATCCTTTGGCTACGCATAGACAGCGATGACCATCCGCGCGTCTACGGGTCCCATAGCGGTAATGCCGAAACAGACCGACTCTTCGAAAACGTCCAAATGGCTACAGATTCGTTGCTACAGCAGATCCCCTCCGCAGAAATCGTGAACCGCGGCGACTTTAACGCCCATCACGCCCAATGGCTTGGTTCAGGTTTAATCGATCATGCGGGGAGATCTGTTCATGATTTGCCTTGACATATGGTCTGACATAACTGGTTACTTCGCCTACGCGGAATCGAGATGTGGAGGATCGTGCACCTTCCCTGTTGGACCTTCTGCTGACCTCTCACCCGGACGGATATCAGATTTCCCGTGTCCACTGTTTTTTTTTTGGGGGGGGGGGGTTTTTTTGGGTTTTGTTTTGTTTTTTTTTTTTCTTTTATCGAGATCAGCGGTGTCGTTCTTGTTTTTTTTTTTTCTGTCCTGTCCACTGGCCCTCACAGCAAAGGAGAAAGCCGATCTGCTAGCCTCTTTCTTTGCGTCCAACTCAACTCTCGATGACGGGGGGAATACACCGCCGACCATCCCGTGGTGTGAGTGCTCCATGCCGGAAGTGCAGTTCACACAGCGCTTGGTTCGCAAAGCACTCCTCTCCCTGGACATCCACAATTCGAGCGGGCCTGACGGAATTCCCCTAATTGTGCTGAGGACGTGTGCTCCAGAGTTGGCACCGGTTTTAACGCGTCTTTTCCGGTACTCCTACTCCCTAGGCGTAGTCCTGTGATGCGAATCCCAGGGTCTTGGGATGACGATGGAATACGGCTTTCGTCCACCCAATCCCTAAAAGAGGCGACCGCTCAGACCCGTCCAACTACCGCCCTATCGCTATCACTGCCTTGTTCTCCAAAACAATGGAGTCCGTTGTCAACTGCCAGCGCATGAGGTACCTTGAGGATCACCAGCTGATTAGTGATCGCCAATACGATTTTCGTCGTGGTCGATCAGCTGGTGATTATCTGGTCTACCCAACTGATAGATAAGCGGAGGCAGTAGAGTCCAAGTGGGAGGCATTGGCCGTTAGTTTGGGCATTACGAAGGCCTTCGATAGGGTTTGGCACAAAGCGCTTCTTTCGAAGCTCCCTTCCTATGGGCTTCCCGAGAAATTGTGCAATTGGATCACCAGCTTTCTTGCTGATCGGAGCATCAAGGTCGTTGTAGACGATGCAAGCTCCGATTACAAGCCTATTAATGCTGGTGTTCCACAAGGCTACGTGCTATCGCCAACGCTGTTTCTTCTGCATATCAATGATATGTTGTAAACCCGTAACATTCATTGCTATGCAGATGACAGCACTGGTGATGCTCTGTACACCGGCCGTGCCAATATTTCTCGGTAAAACGTCTCCGAGTACCGGAACAAACTTGTGTCTGAAGTCGAGTCTTTGCTGAACAGAGTCTCGATTTGCGGCGACTAAATCTAGTCCAGTTTCACCCACAGAAGAGTTTGCGCGTTAACCGCTAAAAATAACCCCTTTGTCGTATCTACTCAGTTTCGAGGCACCCCCCTTGTTACCTTAGCCGGTATCGGAATCCTCGACGTCGACATATCGAGTGACGTGCAGTTTCGTGGTTACTTGGAAGAGAAAGCCAAATTGGCCTTGCTTGAAAAAGCTTGGCGTGCTCAGCAGAGCGGAACAGTATTTCATGCCATTACACCGCCTGCAACTTTACAAGGTGCAGGTTCGGCCGCACATGGAATACTGTTCCCATCTCTGGGCTGGAGCTCCCCAGTACCAGCTCCTTCCACTTGACCGCATCCAGCGCAGAGCGGCTCGAATCGTCGACGACCGAGTGCTTTCCGATTGGCTCGATTTACTGGCGTTGCGAAGAGATGTTGCATCTCTTTGCGTATTTTATCGCATCTATCACAGGGAGTATAGTCTGAGGAATTGTTCTGATTAATCCCAGGCGCCAAATTTCGTGAACGCACTACGCGGCAAACGTCCCAATACCATCAGCAACATATGGATGCTTGGCGGTCCACTACTTTAGGTTTCAGAAGGAGTTTTCTTTCGCGCACGAACTCTCTGTGGAATAACTTACAACCGGCGATTTTTCCGAACCGATACGACCTGGGGACCTTCAATAAAAGAGCTTACTCCTTTCTAAAGGGCCGGCAACGCACCTGCAATTCGCTTGGTGTTGCGGTTGATCATGGGCGGCGGTAGTAACTTAACATCAGATGAGCCGCATGCTAGTTTGCCCCCTCTTCTATAAAAAAGGTTTTTTTTTCTAATGATAAAGTTTGTGGGTTAATGAAGATGATGTATTTCCTTGTACGAGCCCGTAAAATTTTACTGCTGTACGTCCATGTCTTCTGTTGCTGCCCATCCCGGCTATCTTCATATTTAAATCAGTCGAATATAAAATGATCATATCGCCATCTATTGAAAGCAGTAAGATTGTTCTTGCAATCCCCACAGTCGCCACTTACAACACGCACAGGACATAATGGCGAAGAATTCACTTATCAGCACAACACATCTGATGAGGGTGTATGATTATGAATAAAATTTTCGCACAATTTTCAGTAAACATACCTCCAAAGACCAAAGACACCATAACTACGCACAAGCAAAAGAAAACAATTTTACATTTCAACATTTTTTCATCCAGTTCTCAATTTGATTAGAATCTAAACTGCTATTTGCTTTGCTTAAATAAAAATAAAGGCTTAAAATCAATTATGTAGTTGAGAAACCAATTAGCTCAAGTTAATTAGCTTTAATTTTGAAATAGTGAACAATTCACCACACTTTCTATAGGCTTTAGAAGGTAATAAAATTTGCTAATTTGTTCAGCAACCGTCTTTAAGGAAATAATGTGATAAGCGAGTACACAGTCAACCTGATAGTAAACAGACGTTGCAGCACATGCGAAATGCGGATGCAATTTGTTCCAAATGCCTCGTTATCGGAAGCAATAATCTCCAATTTTCGTCACTAACTGGACGAGAAGCAGCCGCATTTTGCTGATATTTTACGCTGGTCAGCGCTAGCGTTGACCTTCGTCAGTCGAACCGACTCATTCGTGTTGTAGTCACCCCGAATCACAACCTACAGCGGCTCTATTTCTTTTCTACAAATATTTATGCAATCCATATAAACACAAAATTAGTTTAAAAGTCAAATAAATATTAATAGATAATATTATTATTACATTATTTATTGTGTATATTATTATCTATGTTACTAAATAGTATTATCATTATAATATAATATTATTAGATTGGATTTAATAAATATATCATACATTTATTAAAGCCAATCTGCACATGACATGAATATATAAATCTAACCATCTTTATCGTTACTTAGTTTATGTCTGAACAATTATTTTAACAAAAATAATTTTTACTTTAGAAAGTTTTTTCATACAAGGAGTATATAATTATTTTAAAATATGACTAATATCTTAAAAATCGACCAAGATCTACTTTTATTTGTAATATTACCGTAATGTACGAAATAAAAATCCCCCTGATGTTAAGTTACGTCTGCACATAACCCATAGACACATTTAAATAACGAAATCATTACCCACAGAGTACATTATATATACCTGGAATCATTACCATAGACACATGTCATTAACATTACAGCCTAAATAAAACTTCCACAGATAAATATAACCTCGTAGGGAGAATATTTGCCGTAGTTGCCTCGCTTGGAAAGCTAGTTGGCGACCGCAGCTTTTTTTATTTAGAGTTGTTATGAGTAAGATGCTGCTTTCCCTCTGTCGCCTCTTGCGAAATCCTCGGGACGATAGTATATAATAGACGATGTAGTAGATAATCTAATAACGCCACTACACAGTAATGTACATAGCAACCAACTTTGAATATTATAGTCCCGTGACGAGAGCACGCCACGTCGCGATCAATCGTAGTGATCCAAGCGAGCAAAATTTGGCTGCTTGCTACAAGTTATTTGAAGTAGCAGCAAGAGTTCGAACAACAGCAATATAAAGAACAGCAAGAAAAACAAGAAAAAAGAAGAAATCCTCCTCCTGGTATAACCAGTTAGTAATAGTGAATGAATAACAATCAGTGTCGTCTAGTCAAGCCTTTCTTTGCTCAGTGTAGTAACATCTAAATACAACTCAAAATATTTCTGTATACTTGATTTCCTTATTTCCGTTATCGGCTTAACAGCGTTGTTAGTGCATAATGGGAAATTTATGCATGCCGTTTGTCGCAATATGTAAAGGGCTTTATTGATTGACAAAAGGTGTCAAAGAAAAATGAGGAGATTTACACCAGTTAAAAAATTCCTAGACCGGTAACGAGCGACTTCAAAGTTGCAAAATGTCTATAACCACAATCAACCTTCTCTAATTAAGCAGTGGATGACATTTTTTTAATAAAATATTGTCAATTTTTTTTTCTATAAACAAAATTTTTTGCGCATTTACACAAGTTTTATTTACGTAAACACGAGATAAATTGAACGTTTTTTTTTATCTTAACTTTTATCACCAACTCTTTCCAAAGCATAATCAAAGGCAAAAGTAACGGCGATCTTAATGAACTCCACCTGTAAACTGTTTCAGAACTTTCTAGCTAGTTCGCTAGAGTTGGGAATTAACATTCTTTGAATAATTTTAATGAGCAAAGGAAAGATTCTAAAGGATTAAGTTTTGCAGGAACTTTGCTATTTAGTGCATAGTTTGTTATAAAAGATTTAATTTCGACAAAACCTAATAATAATTTAGTTAATGTGACCCAATAGTTTATTTTAAAGGTATATAATTGTTGTATTTTTTGTACGAACGAACAATCGTTTTCTTGTATATAAGAAGATTCATATGTAAACATAGGAAATAAGAAATTATAAAAACATGATAAATTTCATAATTGTGAACGGAATGAACGAATGAGGAGCGTAGCGGTGGATAACGGGAGGAAAGGTTTCGCCAAGACTATTCATACCATTATTTCATCTTATTTTAAATTTTACTACTTGGTATATTTTTTAAATATTTTTTGAAAGTTCATTGGTTTTATTTTAAGCCATTTCATGGTTATCCATTAACTAATGCAACCCTTACTAAAGCTGGTAACTCTGACTGTAGGGATATTGACATTGAAAGAAAAAAACAGCCATTATAAGTCATAATATAAGAGTAAAAGAAAAATTAGAAAGGAATAAGGAAAAAAGGAAAAAGTAAGGAAAGGACGATAAAGAATAATTGAGGAGTAGGTGAACGTTTTCAGGGAACGCCTTAGGAAAGGTAAAGATCAGAACAATCAAGAATTAATGCCACTAGTTTGGCTATATTTGAATGACGTCGTTTTGAGTTTAAGGAAATGGAAGCAATATTTTGAAAACCAGCTTATATCTAGCAAGACATCTTGAAGTAAAGGAACAGAAATGTTGAAAGAAGGGAGAATTAACTATTTGCATTTTTTTTTGTATGTAAGTAAAAGTTGGATGTGGCAGAAAGCATAAAAGTAAAATTAATGGTGCAGATCGCGATCATTAAGAATTACGTTAGATGTAACTCTGAATAATCAAATTAATAAATAAGGCATGAGTGGAAAAGCAAATTTATGCTTAAGAGTCGGCAAGGGATCTGCTACACGAAAGTTTGTTGACTAAATTGGCGATTTATTGAAGATGGGCCAAATTAAGTGTAGTCTTAACCGACGAGCATGTAAGATATATGGATGATAAAGAAACAAGAGAGGTGTGTCAGTATCGCTACGTGATAGAGCCATGCTGCAGTTGTACTATGGTTGTAGCACGAATGGGTCAGCTCGACCTGGGTAGGATTACGCTCTCACAGAATACTAGCGTAAAATAGCAGCTTAATGCTCTGTGTTTCGTATGGTGAGTGTAGAAAACCGGAGACCCTTTTTACTGGGAACGAGGAATTCCATCGTAGTCCTCAGGGGTGATAACGCATCTTTAGGATTATACATTTTTGATTATTAATCTACGATAAAGTAGATGTTGGACCACTGCATCCACTTAAAATCAGGTGGACCGTTTGCTCGTTTTTCACCTTTATTCTATAAAAAGGTGTGACGCCTATTTTGAACAGTGGACTTTTAAAGATTGTAGAAGCTTTAGGATTGTAAAAATACTTTTAAGAAAAACATATGCAAATTTCAAATTATAAAAATGTTTGGTTCTTTGTAATTAATATAAAAATTCGTGACTCTACTGTTTTAAACTGTGGAGATAATTTGATATTTGAACTTTCTAAACTCGGACCCATTTCATAGTTGTTTTAAAGAAAATTTTATAAAAATGAAATAATCGAATGCATACCATTTAAACATTATATTTTGGCTACAAATTTATAAAACAGCCATTATACAAGTATACTGCTTTAATAATATTTGCGTTCATATTTGAAATAAAATATATATACTTAATTAAAACATAAATTAGGCCACTGTTTCGGCTTTTATGTAATAAAGTAAATCATTACAAGCTTTGTAGTAAGCACACCTGTTGTTAATCCCCACAGGAAGCTTAAATATTAGAATCTTTAGGGAATCTTTTGTCATTTTATTTAAAATGGCTTATGTATAAGACGCGGTCCACTTTCGAGTATAACGTCGGCGGCCATTTTGGAGTTATGACACGTCTTAGTTAGAACCTAAGACTTTCTTAAAACTTATGACAATGTAATTAATCGTTTTGAATTAATCTATCTTATTTGAAACCATAATTTTTGACAGTCTTCGCTGAAAGTAGACTAGGCGAAGTTTAAAGGGACGGTTAAATAAAAAAATTAAAGATTTGTTTGCTATTTAAATCAATTAATTATTTTATAAAATGCAATTAAAAACACATCTTACACCAAACGTCAAAATCAACACGAATCAACTATTTTTAAAAGGTCGGGGGGAATAATTTTTCGTATTTTGTTTGTATAAAATTGATAAAACTTCTTTTTAGTAGTTCGTATTTTTATTTTTCTTAATGTACATATAGGACATTAAGAAAAATAAAAATAAAAAGTAATAAAATATCCCGCCATTTTCAATTGTTTTTCTATCCGCCAAAATGAGTGAATCTAACGAAGAAATTTATCATATATATATATATATATATATATATATATAATATATATATATATATATATATGTTGTGACGTTGTTGGCCCTAATGCAGTGTCAGAAAGACAAAGTTGGTTAAAGCGTTTTCAGTCCGATCTTAGTGAATCGTGTACTCATTTGCAATTTTCTATTGAAACGTAATGAAACTGAACCATTTTTGAAAGGATTGATCACTGGTAATTAAAAGTGGATTGACCTACGACAAGAATGTGCAAAAAAGATCGTGGTCAAAGGAAAGTCAAGCTCCACAAACTGTAGTACCGATTAACATGTATTAGGTGATGCTGTTTTTGTTAGTTTTGTTAGAAGAGGGGGCAAACGAGCATGTGGCTCACCTGATGTTAAGTGACTACCGCCGCCCATGATCAACCGCAACACCAGGGGAATTGCAGGTGCGTTGCCGGCCCTTTAGAAAGGAGTAAGCTCTTTTCTTGAAGGTCCCCAGGTCGTATCGGTCCGGAAAAATCGCCGGTGGTAAATTATTCCACAG